AGATTGTCAAATAAACGTCTTAGCGAAATCCGAGACCCGCGTGAATATATTTGTCGCGTTACCTAGGCAATATGCGACAATACGTTTCATAATGTAACAAATGGTGCAAGGTATAAAATATAGCCAACTCCATGGAGCAGAGCTCATTCTTGGGAAGCCAATATACCTTGAACTTTTGTGCAACACCAAGGTTCATTACTGTATTCACAATAGACTGCCGTTGTTCCCTCCAGTAAACCACATGAATCCAGCTCTCGTGTTCTGTTTCTTTAAGATGCATTTTAATATTAACTCCTACCTTCATGTATGATTTCCAAGCGATCTCTCACCTTCAGGTGATATGCATGCAATATAAGGTAAAGTTATCCCTGTAACAGGCCGTGAAGGTCCATTGGGTTGTGAGACGTTTAGATTGTGAGATGTCGAGGCTCGCACAATCGGCTCATAAATTTTGGTGAGGTTTCAGCCTTACGCTCTGGTCGGCCGCCCTTTGCCCCAGAAAGATTCCCGGTATTCATTTCTGTTGGAGTCGACCCCAGAGCCATAGTGCGGCTGAAAGGATTAGGTCAATTGAAAAATCCAATGATTACATCGGGACCCCAAACCGCGACCTTCCGGTTTGTAGCATAGTGCCTCAGCCAATTACGCTACCGCGTGATCCAGATCGTACAATATAAGTCGGATTAAAGTATGCAAAATGTATTTTAAATTATAATTAAAGTATAGTAGCCCCTTACATTTAACGAAATAAGTCTGCGTGAGAAGCAGTGTATTCTTCTATTCCTAACTATCTTTGTCAATAATAGGCCTAAATGCGTTTCTTTACAAGTTTGTCTTCAAAGATTTAAAATAATAGGTTCAGTAAACTGTTCTGCCCCTACTGAAATCTCATCTAGTGAATCCATTATTTTGCATGTCTTACAACTCCCGTTTCTCTTCATGGACTGCGATTCAGGGCCATCTTTAGGATGTCGTTTGCTTTTTTTCATTCAGATTTGTTCTATTTATCTATTATTCCTTTCTGATGTCTTTGAACGTATTCTTCTCGTGAACTTGGGGTAAAATTCCATCACTTGTTCTTCGGAATTTTGTTAGCTTGTCCTCTTTAATTTTGTCTTTGGTTATGATAAGATAACTAATTAACTAACTAACTCCACGGGGCAGACTATTGGAGAAACTAATAGACCCACTCAGACAGTCAAGAAATTATCGCACCATGTTTACAACAACTCCTTCGTCCAGTTCCTAGGCCCTCTGTAGCATAGCATAACATGGCGCTTTCTTTCTTCACTGTTACGTTTTGTATCTCAGCCAGCGTTCAAGCTGGAAAACAGTATATCGTCGCCTGCTTTCCACTGTTTATTCTCAGCTCGTCCCCCATATCTGCAAACCGTTTCTTCTATCCACAACCTGAGGGCACGTTACGTTGTCTCAGCAAGGGAAAAACTTAACATCAATATCTGATGCTCTATGTGCAGTAGTCCAATTGACTTACTTTGTTACTTCATTCTTCATCTTTTTTTATTCATTAGAAATTCTTACTGTTCATTTGTCACAAGAATTCTGCAGAAGAGGGCAAGAACTAGGGATGTTATTAGATATAAATTTCGTAAAAATCGCATACGAATATTAATATAATAATTGAGTTTTCGGACATTACCCACCGTTCTGTTTTTATTTGAAACAACGTTTCGGAGAGTGTATTGTGACTCCGTCCTCAGGTTAAAAGCATACTCAGCTGGGACCAATCGATAGAGCCAGTTCCTGTCATCGGACCGGAGTTTTAAATAAAATCAGGAAGGTGAATAATGTCCAAAAAGTCAACAATTTTACTAGAAATATTGACTTTGTATCGGCAGTAATTTTTTATCAGTACCACAGACAAACGAAACTTTATAACGAGTACAATGGAAAACAGCAAGAGCCTTACTAGCTCAGTCAGTATAGGGACAGATTACGGGCTGGGCAAATGGATATCAATTCCCGGCCAGTGCAAGAAATTTTCCTTTACTCAAGAGCGTTCAGACCGCAAGTGACAAGGGGCTGAACCTGACCACTAACCTCCGTCTAGTGCCGAGGTCAAGACTGGTGGGGAGTACTTCCGTTTCCCCATACGTCTTCATGGCATGATGCTTAATTAGTTAAGTATAATGGCAACTTTACCTCTGTACCTTTGTAGTCCTAGTGTGCAAACAACACGTCTGAGGACAATGGTAATAGAATAAATATGACGTGTGAATATGCTTATACATAAGCGACAACCTCATTTTATGTGCACACAGTGGAGGTTCCGTATAATACGGGTGCATAAATACACAAATATTTATATACCTGGTGGTATTTACGTAACTAAGAGTTGCACGGAAGAAATTAGGTGCAACCATTGGGACGGAGCAGTGGTATCACCCACATCATAACGTGCTTGATTGCAGTGGCGGGGCTCTGTACAGGAATCTACAGTTACAGTTAAAGTCTGTATGGACTTAGATCTCTGTATAGCAATATAAATTTCTGCATGGGGTTCTCTTGTAGACGAGTGATGGCCTCTTCTTAATGATTCACCCACGCCAACCGAGTATCTGGTGAACAGGTCATAAGCTCCCACAAGGTTTCAGTTATTTTCTATGGGCTGGTGTCATAACAACACGAATTTTACACTTCTGGAGCCAAAGTACTCCCAGTGGCATGACATTCACACCAATCCAAGGGTTCAGAAGTTAGATTTGTTTCATTCTGGTCCGTCACACTAACAATTACAAATACAAACCACCCCGTCTAATGTGACCTATAAGTTTTTACTACATGAAAACTTCTCTCCCTTACATGTTTCGGTCCTTACGGACCATCTTCAGAGAGAAACATCATTACAAACTTGGAAACTACCATCACAAAAGTTGTTTTGATTTAAATTACATACACTTATATGCTACAATGCACAGTACACATGAAGTAGAACATTTCACAATCACAGCAGCTTCCTGGTATTGTAAAGTTTTTAAAAGTTTCTAGATATTATTTAAAAACAGTGAAAACAACACAGCAAGCCACGAGTAAACCCTGGACGATATCGAGAGCCGCCTCATCAAGATAGACAGGCGGCACAAAATCTGTCCCATACAAGAAGGACGATAGGAGGATGGACACGAACCTACATGGTTTATAAATTTTAATTATTGACAATACAGGTTTTTAAATAATATCTAGAAACTTTTAAAAACTTTACAACACCAGGAAGCTGCTGTGATTGTGAAATGTTCTACTTTATGCGTACTGTGCATTGTAGCATATAAATGTATGTAATTTAATAATATTATATTTAAGCATCCTGTTGCACTCCATACGATAAATGATATAAAGTCCG